TAGGATTACAAGTGTGTACCATCACTCCTGGCTAATTGCATTCTTTTTAAATCTTGTAATTACACTTCTGTTCTTTACCTTTCTTTTGCCACCCTCATAGTAAGTTTTTAAAACTTTAGAAAAAAAGCAACTTGTAAATGCCCTCATTTGTGGACAATTTATCATAGAGGATTGTTCTCAAATAGCACTTGTCTGGGATGTTTATCAATATAAATGTTCACTGTTGCTTTCTTTCGCAGCTAAAAAATGGTTCTATCTTTTAGCATCATGTTTGCTTGTATGGGAAAAAAAATCAATACTAGTCACAGAGAACTGTTTATTTTCTCTTTCATCAGTTTTCTATTTTTGTGACATGCTTAGCATATTGCAGTATTGCATGAAGAGGTAATTTCATTATTTGGACATACTTTTCCACATTGGTTCATCCAGTTGTTTAGCTTTGTGCGGGTAGGTGTTGAAGCATCATTCATTTTGAAAATGAATGTTCCTTGAAATAGGAAAAGGTCCAGAAGGGTAGGGGTGGTGGGAGGAGATGAGGAAAGGAAAGAATGGAAAGGAAAAATTATGAGAAAAGAAAAAAAAATGGAAACAAAGTCTATGTAAATAGGGAAGGGTGGAGGGGTGAAGGATGCACAGATAATGGGGAAAAAATAAGAACCAAGATACATCATGTACAGGTACAAACACCCAAAGATAAATGTAAATGTATTGTATACCTAAAATGTACCAATAAAAGAATTTAAGTAAAAAATAAATAAAAGAAAAAAAAAGAATATTGGCATACCTGTGTTTTATTTTTATATCTCTCCATACTGTATATTCAAACTCATTGACTTCATTTTTTGGTACTGGGGATTGAACTCAGGACCTTGCACTGGGAGGCAGGCACTGTGCCACTGAGCTAAATCCCTGGCCCTCATTCTCAGTGACTTTGAATGAATCTGTATTTAGAATTGAGTTGAAACTTTATGATAAAACTAAGGAATGTTTTGATTTTCTGTGACCAAATACTGGGAATTTTTGGGTTTTGGGTTTTGTTTTTGATTTTTGTTTTATGGTGCTGGAGATCCAACTCATCATCATGCGTACTGGGCAAGTACCCTACCACTGAGCTGTGTATGCTTCAGTCCCTATGACCCAAGACATTACAGATGTTTGATAGTTCAAAAAGTGGTTTTTATGGGCTCAAATCACACTCGAGGGAAAAGATTTTCTTCTTTAAAGTGTTCAAGATGTGGTTTAGGATCCAGCTAGAAATAACACTTAAATACCAGTTTCATAAAAATTAAGAAAGGAGCTAGACTTGGTGGCATATACCTATAATCCCAGCACTCAAGAGGCTGAGGCAGGAGGATCACTGCAAGCTTGAGGCCAGCCTGGTCTACATAGTGAGTTTAAGGACCAGCCTTGGTGAGACTGTGTTCTCCCCCCGCCCCCCAAAATCAAAAAGGTCACCATAACAGTGATGGTATAAAGGCATGTCATAGCCTTCTTCTGTGGCACATACTCCTTATCCATCATCTGAGCATCTGTTGAATTTGTCAAATTGTACACAACTTGAGTAGCTTCCCCACCCTTTGAAGTACATTCATATCACACAGCTTCTAACAAAAATAACACCTTATATTGCAGTTGGTGCTTTAAGTGGGCATTTGTAACTGTTGATTTTTGGATCATTACATATGATATATCTGAAGTTAAGTGGATAAATTGTTAGTGGTATACTCATTTTCCACAGGAAAGGTTAATATTAACTTAAACATAGTCACATGTCTATTTAAACAGCAGATCCAGAACTTGACACTAATTAATATTCCTGTATTATAATTATCATTACTGTTCACTAAATACCTTCTTTATCTCTAACATGTCTAGGCATTATCTTTTATCCTTGTCTTTCCTACCAGGTAGTTCTTATTATCACTCACTATACCTGTTGAAAAATTAGGCCTAGACCAAAGAAAAAAGAGGCCGGAAAGGAGAAATGATTTTCTAAAATCCACATAGGTCATAAGAAACAGGACAAAGATTCATACTAAATCTCTCAGTCTCCATCACTCCACTTTTTCCTGCTTTATTGTTGCTTGAAATATGTGGAGCATGGCTAGTGTTGAGGGTTTGTGGGCAGTGAAGAGTGCAGGAGCTGGGTAGTAATCTGTAAACAGTATTCTTTTTTTTTTTTTTTGGTACCAGGGATCGAACTCAGGGCCTTGTGCTTGTGAGGCAGGTGGTGGAACCACTGAGCTAAATCCCTGGCCTTGTAAACAGTATTCTTGAGGCTGGATTTTGCCTTCTTTCAGCTTTCCGTTGGAAACAGCATATAGTTCAGTGTTGCAGCTGAACTCCTCCAGTTTTATCCTGCCAAGTGCTGAATGTTAAAACACATCTCACTGCTAAGCTCTCCTCAGGCCTTTGGTGTTCTTGCTTTAAAGGCAGGTGGGCTAAAGAAAAGCTCCCACTAGGTTGTTGCATAATGTACACAACACAAACAGTACAAGACAACTGTCAATTCCTTCCTTCCCTTCTCTCCCACCCTCTCCAGAAAGCTGGGCCCCAGATGGAAGAGCTGGAAATGTGTCAAATGTTCTCTGAAGGCCATTGAGAAAACACTGTCAGGGACAAAAAGGCGAGCGCAACAGCTTTTTTTTCAGTCCACTAATCAGACAAGATGACCATCAATTTCACAAAGAAAATACCCTTAACAGAGGACAAGAGCTGGCAGCGCTGCCCATGTGGTCCTCAGAATACTACCTGTTTCTGTACTAGGATTTGTGGGCTGGAAACTCGGCTTCCTTGACTTTCTTTATTCATTGAAGACTAAAGCATAATGGGGCTCAGTGATTCTGCTGCCTACCTTGCATCCTCAAGGTCCCGAGTTCGATCCCTGGTACCAAAAAAAGACCAAAGCATAAAGATAATATTTGGGAACATTTTTCTCATTAGAAAGGGTCCCATGAATGTGCAAAGGTGTGCCCAGTTGTATCATAAATGAACGCTCTGGTGTTTCATCTTTATATCTGTCTCTCTCAGAAAGCAAGCTTTGACCGAACATTCACATTTGAACCTTTGCTGCCCATTCCCTTGCATTTTCACTTGAATTCAGCAGTTACTGGAGATTGAATATGTGGTACTTAAATGAAAATTTTCTAATTACTGAGAAAAATATAATTCAGTTTAAAGGTGACTAACCTATTATCAACCAAGTTTTTAAGAAATCCCCTTTGGGGCAAAACTACTTAATTTTTTTTTTTTAGTCCAGGTGTGATGGCACACACATGTAATCCAAATGTTTGGGAGGCTGAGGCAGGAGAAATCCAAGTTTGAGGCCAGCCATGTTGCCCAGGCTGGCCTTAAACTCCTAGAGCTAAGAAATCCTCCTCCCTTATTGCAGTGAGTAGCTAGGACTATAGGTGATGGTGGTAGTTACCATCCAGTCCAATGAAAAACAAACTTCTTAAAGATATATATAAGCTTTTTTTTTCTTTTTGTACTGGGGATCGAACTCAGGACCTTGTGCTTGTTAGGCAGGCACAGCACCACTGAGCTAAATCCCTGGCACTGTATATTAGCATTTTTAAAAAATTCATGTGAACCAAAACCTAATTTTAAATTAATCTAATTTCTCTCTGGAATTTTGTGCCCCCCCCCCCTTTTTTTTTTTTTTTTTTTTGGTACCAGAGATCGAACTCGGGTCCTTGCGGTCGCACAGCAGGCAGCAAAACCACTGAGCTAAATCCCCAGCCCCACACACACACTTTTAAAGACAGGGTCTCACTATGCAGTTCAGGTTGGCCTTGAACTCACTATGTAGCATAGGCTGGCCTTGCAGCAATCCTCCTGCCTCATCTTCCTTAGTGCTGGAATTACAGGTGTATGCCACCATCCCTGGCTTGTTGCCCTTTAAAGTTATCAAACAGCTGCTTGTTGTGAATTAGCCACATGAGTGAAATAGCCTGTATATAGTTTAGAATCAGCTCTACTTTTCATCTTTTTTTTTTTTTGGTACTGGGGAATGAACTCAGGTCCTTGTGCTTGCGAGGCAGGCACTGGAACCACTGAGCTAAATCCCCGGCCCACTTTTCATCTTTTTTAAAGTAATATATCATAGGTGATATTTATATGCCAGATGTTAAAGATATTGACTCCATCTTTTTTCCTAGTGTAGTTGGCATATATACTATTTCATTATAGTAGTATTTTATATACAACTGATTATGATTCTATTTCTGTATCATGCAATTGTAGCCTTGTGTATTTGTTGTTTTGTTTTGTTGAAGCCTGCTGGATTAGATAGTTCCTGTATTAGTTCTTTTTCTCAAGTCAAGAAAGAATGCATTTGAGGTAAGTCAAGCTTCTAACCTGTTGTCTTTTCTCCAAATCACTACTTTCAGTTCACATCATCCCCTGTCCTTCCCTTATTGCAATGCTAGGGTTGACAGAGTAATCCATACTGGGTGGCTCATGACAACAGAAATTTATTTGCTCACAGTTTAGGAGATCAGAAATCTAAAATCAAAATCAAGGTATCGGCAGAGCTGACTACTTCTTGGGACCCTTAGAGGGAGAAATTGGTTTCATGGCTGTCTTCTAGCTTCTGGTGGTGGTTAACAATTCCTTGGCAGTCCTTGGTTTGTAGATTTATTGCTCCCATCTCTGCCTTTATTATCACATCACATGGTTGTTTCTCTGTCATTTTCTTCACATCCATTTCCCTCTGTAGATGTGTCTCTTCTCTTTAATGATGCCATTCAGATAGGTTTTGGAGCCCATCCAGATAATCCAGCATGATCTTCCCCTCTGAAAAGCCTTACTTTAGTTACATCTTCAAAGATCCTTTTCCCAAATAGGGAACATATCTTTTTGGGAGCAAACATTCCAATCACTGTACTAAGCATGCTCTTAACCTCTTAGTTCTTCAGGACAATCTGTTGGTATTTCAAATTGATTTTGCTACTTTTATTGTTTTATAGGAAACTCTGACCTCCTTTTCTTCTCTGTAGTTGTTTCTGAGAAAAGGGTCCCAGCAATGCCTGGATCGCCTGTGGAAGTAAAGATACCGTCAAGATCTTCACCACCCATCATGCCACCCCTCCCACCAATAAATCCTGGAGGACCGAGGCCAGTGTCCTTTACTCCTACAGCATGTGAGAGCTCTTAATTACTTGGGCTTATGGTTCAGAGTGACATTTGGATCTGTGACTGATTTCCATTATACCTTCCACATGCACTAGTCAACATTTTCAAATGCTATTACCAGACTTTGGGGTAAATGCCTATAATTCCAGCATTCTGGGAGGCTGAGGCATGAAGATCACTCGCTTGGATGATTTAGAAGAGCGAGGACCCCCCTCCCCATTTTTTCCCCTGTACCAGGGAGTTAACCCAGGTTCTTTGCACTGAGCTACATCTCCAGTCTTTTTGGTGTTTGTTTTGTTTTCTTGAGACAGAGTCTTGCTAGGGCTGGGGATTTAGCTCAGTGGTTTGACCGCCTGCCTCGCAAGCGCAAGAACCCAAGTTCGATCCCTGGCACCAAAAAAAAAAAGAAAGAGAGCGACAAAGTCTTGCTATGTAGTTCAGGCTGGCCTTGAACTCTTTATATACCCAGGCTGGCCTCAAGCTCACAGAGATCCTCCTGCCTCAGCCTCCAGAGTACTAGGATTATAGGCATGCACCACTATGCCCAGCTCCAGCCCTCTTTATTTTTCATTTTATGACAGGGTCTCTGAGTCAATAAATTGCCCTGGCTTGGCTGGAACTTGCATTCCTCCTGCTTTAGCATCCAGGAATGCACTAGGTCTGCCTGGCAAGACGATATATCAAAGTATAAAATAGATCGGGCGCCTGTCTCGCAAGCACAAGGTCCTGAGTTTGATCCCTGGTACCAAAAAAAAAGTACAAAATAGAAAGAGTTGGGGGTATAGTTTAGTGCAAAGGCCCTGAGTTCAATGCCCCAGACCACACACACACACACACACACACACACACACACACACAAAGCTTGCTTATTCTTTCTGTAAATTGTAATTATCTTTGATATTTGGAAAAATAGTGTTTTAAATATTTTCCTACTCTTTGGCTGGTAATTTTTTTTTTTTTTTTACTTCTTTGATTCTAACTTTTTTTTTTTAATTGTAGTACTGGGTATTTGAGACAGTGTCTTTCTAAAAGTCACTGGGTTGACCAGGCTGGGCTGCATGTTGTGGTCTTCCTGCCTCAGCCTCTTAGATTGCTGGGATTATAGGCTTGTGCCACCATACCTGATGAATTTAAATTACATTGATTTATAGGATTCAAAGTAAATTTCATGAAATTGTAGAACTACTTCTAAAAATGTTCCAGGACTCTCATAATGCCCTTTACAAAAGAGAATGTAATAGTATAACTTTCCTGGGGCTATGTCACTGAGTGTCCTGTTTATTTTCTTACCTTTCAGCTGGGTAGAAGTTAAAGATGAAAGGGCAGGCAAGTTTCTTCTTCTTGGGCTGTGGATGGCTGTCTTCTTCTGTGCCCCCACATGGCCTTTGCTTTGTGCAAAAGCGATCCCTCTGCTTGCAAGAACACCAGTCCTATGGGCTAGGCTCCACTAACATCACCTTCTCTAACCTTTGTGACTCTTTCAGTTCCCTATCTCAAATACAGTTAAAATCTGAGGTACAGAAGTTTAGGACTTCAACATAGCAGGTTTTTTTTTTTTGGTTCTGGGGATCGAACTCGGGTCCTTAGGCTTGCAAGGCAGGCAGCGGAACCACTGAGCTAAATCTCCAGCCCAACATAGCAGTTTTTGAGGGGACACAATACAGTCTGTAACAAGTACATTAGCCAATAAATATCTAATGGGAGTCTCACTCTCTGGCAATCAAGGAAATGCAAACTAAAACCCACTGTAATACCAGAATGTTCAGAATGAAATACCAAGTTTTGGTGAGGACATATGGAGCAACTCAAACACTCACACATTGCTAGTTAAAGTGTTTGGGTTTTGTTTTTGTTTTTGTTTTAGATTTTTCTCCTTTTCCAGTACTTGGGATTGAACCCAAGTCCTTGGCACTGAATTATATCCCCAAGTCTTTTTATTTTTTATTTTTTTTTATCCCCAATTCTTTTGAGACAGGGTCTCTATTTGTATTTCAGGCTTTGAACTCACTCTGTCACCTGGGCTGGCCTTGAACTCACAGAGATCCCCCTGGCTCAGCAGGTGCACACCAGTATCCCCAGCCTGAGTTTGAAGTTTTGATCAATCTCCCTCACCTCCCAGAGTGCTGGGATTACAGACATGCACCGTCACACCCAGATTACATTTCTGTTTTAACATTTGTATGTTATTCTGTTACAATTTTTTACCTGACAGTGTGTCTCACTGTACAGCCATCTAAGGACAGAAACAAAGGGTTTTAACATGGTCTTTTAGTGTGTGCTTTACAGTAAAGGAGAACACAAAAAGAAGTTAACAAAAGGCCCCTTGTGTTCTGCACTTAAACTGAGTCTCTCACTTTGATTTTCTTTTAGTAAGTAATGGCATCAACCATTCTCCTCCTAACCTGAATGGTGCACCATCCCCACCACAGAGATTCAGCAATGGTCCTGCCTCTTCCACATCATCAGCACTAACAAATCAGCAGTTGCCAGCCACTTGTGGTGCTCGACAACTCAGCAAGTTGAAGCGGTTTCTTACCACTCTGCAGCAGTTTGGCAATGACATCTCACCTGAGATTGGAGAGAAGGTTCGGACACTTGTCTTAGCACTGGTGGTAAGTACCACATCACTGTTGTCAGCCATTGCCTGACAGCTCTCAGATCCATAACTGGCAGAGAAATTGTAGATATTTCCGCTCACTTCCAAAGTGCAGTGGAACCTTGGTTCACAAACTTAATTCATTCCACAATTCTGGAAAAGATGGGCACAATCATGTTTATGCAGGAAAGTTCGCCATGGCGCCACGGTCGTGTTTGTCATCCAATGCAGAGTTCCCAAACAAAAACAGAGTTTTGCCAAATGCTTCTGTTTGCAAACCAAATTATTCGCAAACAAAAGTGTTTGTGAACTGAAATACCACTGTATAGTAATGAGGCAAATTCTATGGAGTGGTTTAGTTATAATTTGTATAAAGCTGGAATTGTAGATTTCATAACAGTGTTTATCGAAGAAACAAAATGCATAACACTTACCTTTCTGTTTAATAAGTAGCTTTGGGTTTGTCTTAAAACTGGTTTCAGTAGGCCTGCTGAGGTACAACCAAGTTAATACAAGGGTTTTTGTAATTTAATATATTCAGTGCCTGCCATACTATTTCCAAACCGAAGAAAATAGAGGCGTAGAGAGTTTAATTTTCAAAACAGTAATTTTTGAAATTACAAGTTTCACGGTCTAGTATCAAAGGGATTACATTGTTTAGCTCCTCATGTATTCTTTAGAATTTTATTTCTTTTTAAAATTTTTATTAGTAAATGTTTGCAGTACATAATCATTACATTCATCATAGGGAGTTATACATGTACATAACACATTTTAATTCTTTTTACTTCCCCTCCCCTTTCTACCTCCTCTTTGGAATTTTCCAGATATACATATTTTTTCTTTCTATACTGATTGTCCTGAGCCTGTGAAATGAGTGGCTTTCTGATACTGACAATTAAGTGCGATTTGACTGGGTTTATAAAGGAAGTGCTGCTAGTTCTTAGTATTTGTACATCAGCTGCTTCAAGATTTATCCCAGGCTGGGGATTTAGCTCAGTGGCAGTGCGCCTGCCTGGCAAGTGTAAGGTTCTGATTTTGATCGCCAGTACCAAAAAAAAAAAAAAATTTATCTCTGTAAAACCACTCCATGTCCTTCTTGCGTGTTATCTCCTATATGTTTGTTTGTTGGTTGGTTGGTACCAGGGATCGAACTCAGGTTCTTGAGCTTGCGCAGCAGGCGGCAAAACCACTGAGCTAAATCCTCGGCCCTCTCCTGTATGTTTTAAAAAGAAGAATCACAGCATCAGTCCTTCAAGTCACATTCTCCAAGTATAATTCCAGGGACTGCTGGGATTCCCCAGGATCCTTACTAGGTATCCAAAGGTTCAAAACTATTTTCATAATGATAGTAAGAACTTATTTGCCCAACTCCCCACACTCATGGAGTTTGAATCCTGGGTCTCTGCACTGAGCTACATTCCTCAACTTTTTTTTGTTTTTAATTTTGAAACAGTTTTTTGCTAAGTTGCCCAAATTGGACTCAAACTTATGATCCTCTTGCCTCAGCCTCACAGAGTGCTGGATTTACAGGCTTGCATACTTTTTATTCCTTGATTGACATTTGAATTATTTGTTTTTAGGGCAATATCAGAGTCCCCGACACCTCCCCATATTTGGAGATTTGTTAGAAGGAGTCACAAGACTTGACATATAGTTGTACTTATAACTAAAGTTAATTACAAAGGTATAGTAAGGATATATAGCCAGATCATAAAGAAAAAAGACACAGGCAGAGTCTGGAGGAATCGGTGTACAGACTTTCTTTTACCGTCTTTCTTTCATGGCCATTCACGCAGAATGCACTCTCCCCAGCAAGGAAAATACAGCAACATGTGCACAGTGTTTCTGTCAAGAGAAGCCTCTTAGACTGTGCTCAAGGCCTGTTTATTTATTTATTTGGTGGTACTGGAGGATCAAGCCTACGGCCTTCACACTGAGCAGTATCCCCAACCTTTTTTATGTTGAGATAGGGTTGTTTTAAGTTGCTGAGGCAGGACTCAAAACTTGCAGTGCTCCTGGCTCAGTCTCTCAGAGGGCTGGGACATTAAGAGGCATGCACCACCATAGTTATTTCAGTATTTTCCTTTGTTTTGAGAAGGTCTTACTATATAGTTCAGGCTGGCTTTGAACTCACTATGTAGTCCAGGCTGGCCTCAAACTTGCTGCAATCCTCCTTCCTCAGCCTCCCAAGTAAGTCCTAAGATTGCAGGCATGCACCACCATGCCCCATACATCAGTATTTTAAATGGCCACCACCAAAAAAAAAGGTCCAGGCATGATGACACACCCCTGTAGTCCTAGCACTTGGGAGGCTGAGGCAGGAGGATTGCTGTGAGTTTGAGGCCACCCCAAAGTATACAACAGGACCCTGTCTCAAAAAGAAAAAAAAAATGCTGAGTGGTCATTCGCACCTGTAATTCCAGCATTCTTGAGGATAAGGCAGGAGGATACCTGTGACTTCAATGCCAGCCTGAAGTACATAAGGAGACCCTGCCTCAAAAAACAAAAAACGGCCACACTTAAAATACCATCTTAACTTTAACCTATTAAGGATTCAGTGGTGTTTCATTTTTTAAGTGGTATTTTGTATAATGTATTTTCATATAAGCCGTCCTATTTACCATTGTATACCTAGTACCTAAGAGCGTCACAGACTAAGGATTGCTTTTTAAAAGATTATCATAGAGGGCCAGGGATTTAGCTCAGTGGTTCCGGCGCCTGCCACGCAAGTGCAAGGTCCCAAGTTCGATCCCTGGTTCCAAAAAAAAAGAAGACTAAAGATTATGGTAGAATATACATACAACATGACATTTATCATTTTAACAGTGTTTAGGTTTACAGTTCAGTGACATTAAGGACATTCATATTATTATGCAACCATCACTATCATCCATCTCCAGAACGCTCTTCATTTTACAGTTCTAAAACTATTCCATTCAGGGCCAGGGTGGTAGCTCAGTGGCACTGCACCTGCCTGGCAAGCACAGGGTCCTGAGTTCAATTCCTGGTACCGCAAAAAATAAAACAAACAAAAAAACTGTTCATTCCCTCCTCCCTCAAACTGTTGGCACTACCATTCTACCATTTTCTGTAGAAAATGCATTTGACCATTCCAGGTGCCTCATAAGTAGAATCATACAGTATTTGCTTTTTGTAATGAGCTTATTTCACTGAACATGTCTTCAAGGTTTATCCCTGTGGTAGTATGTCAGTATTTCCTCCTTTTTCTTCTTCATTTTCTTTTCTTTTTGTTGTTGTTGTTGTTGTTGTTCTTGGAATTAAATTTAGGGCCTTTGAGCTGACCTACCTCCCCAGTCCCCTCCTTTTTTAAGACAAGGTCTCACTGCATTGCTAAATTGCACAGGCTGATCTTGAATTTGTGATCTTCCTGCCTCACCCTCCAGAGTCCTAGATTACAGGTGCGCACAGCCACTCCTGGCTACTTCCTTTTTAAGTTTGAGTAATAACATTCCATTACACAGATATACTACATTTTACTTAATTTAGTCATCTATTGATGGACTTTAGGGTTGCTCTGCCTTTTCACTATGTGTGTACAAATTTTTTCCAAGCCATAATTTCATGATTCATCCAGGTTGTAACATATGTCAAAATTTCCTTCTTTTTAAGACTAAATTATATTTTATTGTACATACACATTACATTTTGTATCTGTTTATTCATCATTGGACACTTTGGCTGCTTCTGACTTTTCTGTTAGGGACTTTGTGGGGGTTTTTTGGGGGTTTTTTGGTACCTAGGATCGAACTCAGTTCTTTGCGCTTGCCCAGCATGTGGTGAAACCACTGAGCTAAATTCCCAGCCCATGTTAGGGACTTTGTATCAGGGAAACCACTTATCATCCAGTTTCCTACTGACAGATGCCAGCTAATGGCTCAACCTTACGAGCAGGCCTTTTAGAAGCAGTTTTATGTCTGTTCTGTTAACTCTTTTTCTGTGCAGGCACCATTACAAATAATGTTCCTGGGAGCTGGGGATTTAGCTCAGTAGTTACACCGCCTGCATCAAAAGTGCAAGGACCCAAGTTCGATCCCCGGTACCAAAAAAACAAATAATGTTCCTATAAACATTCTTGGACATGTATGCAATACACATAGCAATGAAATTGCGGTTTCATAGAGCATTCTTATATGCACATTTAGTATGTAAGACCATACAGTTTCCCGAAGTGTTATGCCAATCAATATTTTAACCTGCTCTTATTTTCATTAATACTACTATTGGGGGATTTAGCTCAGTGGTGCCGCTCCCTGCCTTACAAGCGCAAGGTCTGGTGTTCAATCCCAGGTACCCAAGAAAACAAAACAAAACAAAATGAAAAACATTGCTATTGAAACTATAGGTTTGCAGAAGGCACAGAGGAAAAAAAATATTTGTTGACTGTAATGCTGCTTTTTTTTTCACATTCTTTTTTTTTGGTACCGGGGATAGAACTTGGGTCTTTGCGCTTGCAGGGCAGGCAGTGGAACCACTGAGCTAAATCCCCAGCCCAATGCTGCTTTTTTTTATAAGACAAGGTCTTGCTATGCATTTCAGGCTGGCCTTGAATTCACTATGTAGTCCAGCCTGACCTCAAATTTACAGTGATCTTCCTGCCTCATAATTTTTGAAGGGAAAAAAACATGCAAAGAAGGAAGCAAGAACTTCTTTAACCTGATGATGGTTATATATAAACAAAAAACCTATTGTAATTCTCATGCTTACTGGTGAAATTGGAATGGTTTCCTTCTGAGATCAGGAAGTGGATAAGGATGTTCACTTTTTTTATTCAGTCTAAGAAAATAAAATATAAACAGAGAGAAATAAAATTCCCATTAGAAGGATAATTAACATGTTCACTGTGTTAAATTTGTGTAAATCAAGAACTTATCTTCATGTTTTATTACAGTAAATATTAGTACTATTTTGGTAGGAAAATGTAAGTGGAACCAGTCTTTGCAGGTGATGAAAATTCCATTAGCCCAGTTTTTAAAAGACACAGTTGAGTAGCTGAAGTTCACTTATCTGTAGTCTGTGTCTCCAGTGTATAAGAGGTAGGTGTTGGTACTCCCTAACTATACTAAGGACCAAGCATGGCAGTTTTCTACTGCAAGCTTAGTATATGTCTCCTTATTTGTAGAATATAATTTGGGAGATAGTTGGACAGTATTTCAGATCCCTTAAACTTAATAGTTCTTTTGACTCACCAGTTTCATTTTTTTCAAATTCATCCTAAGAAAATAATAAACAAAATCATCCATTAAGATAATCAGTTCAGTTTTGGGGAGGGTGAGACAGGAGGATTGCTAAGAGTTTGAGGCCAGTCTGAACTACATAATGAGACTCTATCTCAGTGGCCCCCCTCAAAAATAGATAATGAGTTTAGGGTTGTGCACGTAGCTTGCTTGCTTACCACGTGTAAGGCCTTGAGTTCCATTCCCAATGCCTTTTCTCTTCCTCCCCTGAAAAGATAATTATTTCCACATAATTTACAATTAAGAAAATTGAACCCACTAAATGTCTTTAATATCCTTTGTAAATTTCATCTGTTTAATGGAATTTTATGTAGTTATTAAGAATTAAGTCATTTTCTGTTTCAGAGGCAAGACAAAAAAGGTATACTTCTCTCTTTTATTTCTCCTGGTAAGTACAGTGAGATGCCCTGGATATTTTGTGTATATTTTAATCCAAGGGCTAGTGAAGCATCCTAAATTTATTTAGCCAATGTTTTTTTGGGGGGGCCCAGTTTTTTTGGTACCAGGGATTGAACTCAGGACCTTGCACTTTTGAGGCAGGTGGCGGAGCCACTGAGCTAAATCCTGGGCCCTTGTGTATATTTTAAAAATCCACAGTGTAATATAATCATGTACTCCAGACATGGACTAATAAAAATTAAAATGATTTGGGCCAGGGATTTAGCTCAGTGGTTCTGCTGCCTGCCTTGTAAGCGCAAGGGCCCGAGTTCCGTCCCTGGTGCCCCCCCCCCAAATTAAAATGTTTTTTAAAACAAAACATAATATAATAAACAATAAGAAGACTCTCAAAGGTAGAAAGAAGACAATGGGTTCACTGACAACCATAGGACCCAAGGAACATCATAGTAGTGAGTTACCTCAGTTTTGTTTTTATTTATATCCTGGATTGGAGTGTGCAGAAACTGGTACCTTGGAAACACCAGTGAGCACAATTTAAAATGCCTCTGTCTAGCCCAAAAAACAGGAAAGGAGCAACCAAGTGAGGCAGAAACTTTTAGACAGTAACCACCATACTCCACCTAGGAATCTCCAGTAAAACTGTGTTAATAAGCCACCTTTCTCCCTTGATTAGAGGCTTCTTTTTATTCCTGACTAGTAATATTACAGATTAATTTGACAGAATTTGCAAATGTCATGTACTTCAAATAAGTACACGGTTTAAAGAATTTAAAAAAAATTTTTTTTAAGACATTGAAAAGAATTTTGTTGTGAAATAAGATAAAGTGTTTAAACATTTTTATTTAACATGGTTGAATTGGGTATACTTGCCAGGCATAGTGTACATGCCTGTAATCCCAGCACTTGGGAGGCTAAGGCAGGAAGATTGTTGTGAGTTTGATGCCAGCCTGGGCTACATAATGAGTTCAATGCCAGTCTCACCTACATAGTGAAATCATGTCTCCAAAAAACCAAAATGAACAAACAAAAAAGAGTTCAGATAAACTAGGTGGTAATGTACACATGTGATCCCAGCACTCTAGGAGGCTGATTGAAGGTTTGAGCCCAGCCTGGGCAATTTAGCAAGACCCTGTCTCAAAACATAAAAAAGGCTGAGGATGTAGCTGAATGTAAAGGCCCTCCATTGAATCCCCAGTAACACCCCACATAAATGCTTAAGTTTTTGCTTTTTATTTTAGTTTATTGTTTTAGGAAATTAAAATAAAAATACTTTATAAACTTTGAAGAAAATTATTTTTGCTTATTTCCCTTAGCTGAGATTCATTTTTATTTGAAAGTCTAGACTTTTGAGAAAATACATGGGAAATATTAGTAACTTTTCTGGGATAATAAAAACTGACTGACAGTGCTTTGCCTGTTTTGGCTTAGTTTGATATTTACACTCAGCACTTGAAGGCAGAAGCTACTTATTGTTCTTTGCTTCTGAACTTCTTGTGGAGAAGATTTTGGCAGCCGCTTTTTTTTTTTTTTTTTTTGATCCCAAGGACTGAACTTAGGACCTGGCACTTTCCAGGCAGGTGCTGGGCCACTGAGCTAAATCCCTGGCCCTGGGCAGCCTGTTCTGTAACACAGGTGGACATAGTGGGACAGGGAGTGGGATTAGAAGTGTGGAGATGAGAATCAAGGAGGTGAAATTTCTGTCATTAAGGAAACAATTCTGCTCAGCTTTGAGTGGGATCAGTGTTCATGATCATATCCTTGGAACTATCATTTTCCTTAGGATTAAAAGTATTCATCACCGTGTGGGTCAGTGTCCAATTTTGCAAGTTGAGTAACCTTGTTTATCTTTACAGAACTCAACAGTGACAATTGAAGAATTCCATTGCAAGCTCCAAGAGGCCACAAATTTTCCTCTTCGTCCTTTTGTGATTCCATTTCTCAAGGTAATTCTGTGAGAGCTACTGAATGTAATTTATCTTCAGTATTTCCTGAAGTGTTCTACTGATCCCTGTTAATGTGATCAAAATCAGGGCAGCTTGCCACCTTCTTATGTGTTTATTTTATTTTGGACTGGTAAAGAGATGTGAGTATAGTTTACAACTAAGCCTCGTGTTTGAGGAAATTGCAGAAGCCTTGAGTTGGGTTCTGTGTGCACTGTTGGTAATGCCTGCAAGGACAAGTGGTTCCAGAGGAAGAGGTGAATGGGCGGGGGTTGTGGGGGGTAGGTGACGGCTGAAGAGATTGCTGGCCACTAAATCTTTTGAATATGACCAGAGAGAGAAGAGTGTGTGCTATCTGTCAACAAAGGAGAGGCCTCTGAGGTTTGGACTTACCCTGAGGTGAAAGGATTTGACTGGGCAATATGTATTTGTGTCTCCCCAAGCCTCATTTAGTCTAGTCTTCATAATGTCCTGGGGAATTACTGTTCCCTGGAACATAACTTTTGGGGACACTGTTCTAAATCATTGCTTTTGCTTGATAAGTGAGGCAGTGTTATATTCATATGGAATGTGGGTCTTTCAAAAACTTTATTTCTTTGAAGCAAAACATTTATTAGTACATTTTAGATATACATAATGATAACACTCATCATAGGGAATTTGCACCTGTATATCCTGCCTCTTCTTTTTTTCCCATCTCTCTTCCCTCAAGCCCCCTTCCCCTCCCTATATGCAAAAGCTTTGTTTCCCTTTTTTTCTTCTTTAAAAAACAACTTTATTGCCAGGGATTTAGCTCAGTGGTTTCGCCGCCTGCTTTGCAAGTGCAAGGACCCAAGTTCGATCCCCGGTACTAAAAAAAAAAAACAAAACCAACTTTATTTTAAAATTTCACTCTTAGACATAAGCTACAAAATGGTACAATAAAAGTTTTCTACCACCTGCCTCGAAAGCTCACAGTCCCGAGTTTGATCCCCAGTACCTAAAAAAAAGTTTTCTATAACCTTCACCCAGATTCTCCAAATGTTAACATTTTACCACACTTTCATTATTTTCTGGTTTTTTTCAGAAATGTTTGAGAATAAACTGCTGCCAGGGATGGTAGTGCATGTTTGTAATCCCAGTACTCTGGAAGGATGAGGCGGGAGAATAACAAGTTAGAGCCCAGTGTAGGCAACTTGGGAATTTAGTGAGGCCCTATTTGTTCTTTTTTTTTCTTTTTTCTTTTTTTTGGTACCAGGGATTGAACTCGGGACCTTGCACTTGCAAGGCAGGCGCTGGAACCACTGAGCTAAATCCCCGGCCCATGTGAGACCCTATTTGAAAAAAGGGATGGAGATGTAGTTTAGTGTGACAACTCTGTGTTCAATCCCTAGTACCAGAGGGGGAAAAACTGCAGACATAGTATTGAAGCTGGATGTGGTGGCACATCCCTATAATCCTAGCATTTTGAGAAGCTGAGGCTGGAGGATCAAAAGTTAAAGCCCCACTTGGGCAATTTAATCACTTAACAAGGTCCTATCTCAAAAAATATAAGCTGAAGATGTATGTAGCTCAGTGCAAAGACCCTGGACTCAAGGCCTAGGGAAGGGAGAAGGAGGCAGGCAGGAAGGAAATATTCATACAATACTATTTATCTGATCTATAGTCCTTATTTATGTTTTAATGGTTTCCCATTAATGTTTTTTACAGGATAAAAAATAAAAAGAAAAAACCCATGTTATTGTAGAGCATAATTCCTGGATCTAATTCATGGTCACTTGTTTCATTTTAGTTGTCGTGTCTCTCTAGTCCAGTTTAATTTGGAATATTTTCTCAGCTTTTTATGTGCTTTACTTTTTTTTGGTATCGGGGGTCGAACTCAGGACCCTGTGCTTTCGAGGCAGGTGTCAGAACTACTGAGCTAAATCTCCAGCCCTGTGCTTTACATTTTTGAAAAATACAGATTGTTTTGTAGAATATATCTCTGTTTTGTTCTGAAGCTTTCTCATAATTAAAATCAGGTGAAGCATTTTTTGTGGCTGGAATAGGTAAAAGGCATCACTGTATGCTTCAAATGATGCAGGTGGCAATTTTTCTATCCTTAATGTTGACCTCAATCACTTTGTAAAGTTGGTGTTTGCCATGCTTTCCCACTGACAAGTTACTGTTTTCTCTGATTAGATGGTAGTTTTCCAAAATAGGTAACATTATGACTCGTAAAGATAAAAAAAATCAAGCTGTCAAAGATTTTATTCAATACATAATTAATGACAGAATTGATAAGCTATCACAGCTAATTCAGAGGAGCATCCAAATAGCAGACACATTTACAGATCAAACTGTACAAACACAAGTAAAACTAATGTCTTCTACAATGGGCAAGAGGGCCTGGGATTTTAGCTCAGTGGTTCCGGTGCCTGCCTCACAAGCACAAGGTCCGGAGTTTGATCCCCAGTACCAAAAAGGCAGTGGCGGGGGCGGGGGGCGCGGAATAATTAACTTGAACCCCCATTAAATTAAATGTTGTGATATACCGCACACAGTACTGGGGATTGAACCCCTAAGTAGCTAGTTTTACAGATGTGTACCACTGTACCCAGTCATTCTTTTCATTAGCAATAGATTGATATTACAAAAAAAAAAACTGTACTCAGTTGTTAGTGCGTATTCAATTTTGTCAGTACAATATTTGTGGAAATTTTTTTCCATAGTCTTTTGGTCCTGGGCATCAAACTCAGGACTTTGCACTTTCGAGGCAGGCAGTGGCACCACTGAGCTAAATCCCCGGCCCTCTTTAGTTTTTTGAGACTGGGGCCCAGTAGTCCAGGCTGGCCTCAAACTCAACCTGCTATCACCTATGTGTTGGGATTACAGCTATGAGTCATCATGCTCCACTTATATATGTAATTTTTGCCACTTGACTCACAAAGGCTCATATTTTCTAGCCATCTTATTAAAGTACTTATACCAGATTTTAAAACATTTTGAGGATACTGCTCAGTGGTAGAGGCTTGCCTAATATGTGAGAGGTCCTGGGTTCCATCTGCAGCACTGCAGAAAAATAAACTTTAAAATGATAGGAACTGGAGCACAGTAAACACAGAGGAAAGAAAATGCACAGTTCCAAGGTGCACAGCCCGTGTTGTGCTCCATTCTAATAGCATAGAGCCATGTAGTCCTGAGCAGCACCTGGCCTTTTCCAGCCAGATACACAGTGCTAACTCTCTTGGTCCCTTTTTGTAGGTCAAACTCACTAACAGTTATTTCACCAAGCCTTTAGAACCAAGAAAGATTTCTGAAATTGTATGTTAATAGAAAATAATTTGCATTTTTATTCACCAAGTCTCACCACAAATGCAAAGATATGATGTAGTATTTTTTTCTAATTAAGTTTTTATAATTGCAACATGATTGTAGTTATAAAACAGACTTTAAAAAGTGTTTTATATTTGCAAATTTACCTATTCTTAACGCTGTCATTTTGGAAAGCAGCATGAGGTAGGTTGTTATGGCAGCTTTTTGGATAGGATCTTGGGTTTTGTCAATTCTGCTTTAAAACAGTAACTAGTTATGGTACCTGCTAAATTAACCCTCAGTGAAGGGATGACTTCTTGCATGTATTAAAATCCTTTTTTTTTTTTTTTGGTCTGTTCCTCGAGATAAAGGCTTCTATTATGGGCTCAGCCTGCATTATGTTTAAATTTAGGAAGAAAAATATAAATCTTTACGCTTTCCTTAATAAAAGAACTATGAGAAAAGCAAGTTCTTTAGATGAAGGAGTTAGAATTCTGAAGTTTAAAAAATGAATAGAAGGATTTTTTTTTTAATGATTTGTTCCTATTAAAGGTTTTCTGGGTATGAGTTAAGAAAAATATCAGTACATAATTAATTTTCTTTTCACAGATTACATTACTTCTCATACTCGTTTTCAAAACCCCGTGTTCCAGGATAATCCCAGTATCCAGAAATCTAGGACAGCTCTCCAGAGAACAAGAAAATGGAGTAATGCTGTCAGTGATGGGTTGAGATTCAGAAGAGAGAAGTCAGGCCTTGTAATGTAGAGCTAAGAATGAATTTATCCTGCTTACAAGTTGGTAGTAGCAATTTTCTAACAGACCAAACTTTTCAAAAATGGTGTATTTTCAAATTATTATGTCCAAAAATTTTTATTGAGGTTTGACTCTATACAGTCCCAAAGAAAAGTAAATGAGTCACAGTTCTTTTTATGATTTACTTTTTCTTAGGGCCAGAAACAAGTTAATCAGTAATTCAAGTGCAGGATGCTAGATGTCACCTTACAAAAGAGACTGATGAGAATGTTTCTGACTTTGAAAGCAGTGCTTTTGTCTTGTGTAACCTGCATTGTGAAAGCCCTTTGAGGTGCTAATCCCTGTTGTATAGGGCCCAGCACTGGGAAAACTGCCTCTTCTTTTCAAGGCCAACCTGCCCCTGCTGCAGCGGGAACTGCTGCACTGTGCTCGGGCTGCCAAGCAGACCCCATCCCAGTACTTGGCCCAGCACGAACACCTTCTGCTTAACACCAGTATCGCATCTCCTGCCGACTCTTCTGAGCTGCTCATGGAGGTACAAGGAAATGGGAAGAGGCCCAGTCCAGAGAGGTGAGAAAAGATTTGTTGTCCTTGCTTTTCTAGAACTTCTGATCTCCCTTTGCTTATGAAAGAAAGAATTGGAGGGCCGGGGATTTAGCCCAGTGGTTCCGTCGCCTGCCTCGCAAGCGCAAGGACCCTAGTTCGATCCCCGGTACCAAAAAAAAAAAAGAAAGAAAGAAAGAATTGGATTGCTGGGGTTGTAGATGGGTAACAGCCTTTCCAAGGTTGATTTTGCTTTTTCCCTCTTAAGAGGACCCTGCACACCCTTAGTAAGAAATAGGGTCCACTGTGTCAGAAGCAGAAAGAAAACTCAATTTCTCCTATTCAACCATCAACACAAAAGACTTCTTTGATCAAATGTAGGAGTGTCTCCCTCCCCCCCTGCATTAAGCAAGCAATCAGTTTTGTAAGGGACAGGTTGAGGCCTCAGTCACTGAGACTACCCACTCAAGCTGGACCTGATGGCGCACGCCTGTAATCCCAGCACTCGGGAGGCAGAGGCAAGAGTATTGCCACCAGTTAGAGGCCAGCCTGAACTGCAGAGTGAGACCTTTTCTCAAAAAACAAAGACTGCCCACTCCCTTCAGAGGCTAATCACAAGCTCTAGGTTGTTTTTCCTATGCTTCTGACTGTCTATAAATCTGGCTTCCTATCAACACCCTCCTCAAGTTTGATTAATTTCCTCCATTGGCTCACAGAACTCAGGAAAACACACTATCCTTTCCTGGATTATTATAAAAGGTATTTATTACACATGGTACTGATGAACATGGGATGAAAAATGGATAGGGCAGAGTGTTAGGAAAGAATACTGAGCTCCCATGCCCTTTCTGGCCATCTGGAAGCTCTTGGACGTTGCCCTCCTCCCTGTGAGACATTACATAGGCATAATTGATTAAATCCTTGACCAGTGATGAGCAACTTAATGTTCTAGCCTCTTTCCTCTGCTAGAGCTTGGGAGATGGGGCTGAAAGTCCCAATCCTCTAATTCTACCTCGATCCTTGCCTTAACCCTCCTCCATCCTAGACACTACCAGCCATCAGCCAGTTCACTAGTATACAGAAAAGACTCAGCAGGGCTGAGGATTTAGCTTAGTGGCACCGCATCTGCCTGGCAAGTGCAAGATCCTGAGTTCAATTTCCAGTACCAAAAAAAAGAGCGCTTAAGGGCCAGGGATTTAGCTCAGTGGTTCTGCTGCCTGCCTCACAAGCACAAGGTCCTGAGTTCGATCCCTGGTTCCAAAAAAAAAAAAGGATGCAGAGAAGAGGCCAGAGACCTGGGGCTAAGTCAGCTCTGGATGAGGAGCCCCATCTCCTGGTCCCCACTCATGTCTAACAGGGGACACTCATGTC